AGCGATGTTACTTCTGGACAACGCACCGTCTCATCCACCGGCTGAAGAATGGGCCCGTTCACTTTCATTTTTGAATGTGAATTATTTATATATTTATAAAGATATTAAACTCTTTTGTCTGGTGGTACTTTTCCCGTTAAGATATTTTTGTTAGTAGTAAGGGAATTCCCATAAAATTCTTTCAGTGACTCATTGCGTCAGAAAACCCCTAATTCCCTTCAGGTCTTGTATCGGTTAATAGTTAAAAGGGCGCGGTTGTCGGATGTATCATTGCACCACCATTCCTCTTCTGCATTTATTAAAGAAATTTACATGATAAAAATATATTATTTTTTAAAAATAATGTGTTTATATTTTCAGATAAAGCTGGAAGCCTTACCTTTTTTAAATTTTAATAAAAACAATTAGTATTACTCAAGCTGAATATTACCAGATCGAAATTTTATTTGAGAAAATGTATCTGGTAAACGTGACAACGTTGTAAGTACTTCTAAATAGTGTTGTCTACACACACTTCTAGAAATAAATGCAACGTTGCCACATTTACCAGATAAATATTGCAAATCAAATTTCTACTTTTTGATTATGGTCTGGTTAATTTTCAGCCTGAGTAATAATAATAAAAATGAAAGTGAACGGGCCCATTGAGAAGTAATGATGGAAATATTTTTGTGATGTTCATGCCGCCAAATGTAACGCCTCTGATCCAACCCATGGACCAAAATGTACTCAGACTCACCAAATTTTATTATAGAAACAGTTTACTTAGTTGCATTGGGGCTGGAGATGATCCAGTCGGAATCACCCTTAAGAAAATTACATTAAAGGACGCAATTATACATTTAGCAGCTGCATGGGATAAATTAAGTCCTGATGTTATCTCTAAATGTTGGTATTATATTATGGTAAACGTCAGTGCAGAAACTGATCAAGGACAACTGGATGAAGACGACTTACCACTATCTGTTTTACAACAAAGACTAAATTAAAATAAGGTTTTTGATATTGCTCTTGAGGACACAATCGCCCTGCTTCAAGCAATATAGCCTGTAAGGTTTAAATTCAAATGCCTAGATTAACTTATGTACAGTGTTTTTCCGAATGTATGTAAGTGTTCTGTTTATTTTTAAAATTACAGGTCAAATACACTCCTCAAGACTTAGAGGAATGGAACAAATATACAGTTTAAACTGAAGACAGTGATCAAGTAGATGAGTGTAACGATGACAATGAATCCGAAGGAAGTGATTGTGAGATCCTCCCAGACTCAGGGACTAGAGTAGCACATTGTAAAGCAGTTAAGGCTCTAGATGTTGCAATAAAATGGGCTCAACAGAACGCGTCAAATATAAGTGAAATCATAACTCTAAAAAAAATTCATGAAAAAGGTGTCTTAGCCAATATGTCTGTTAAGCAAAAATAATCCAAAATAACTTCATATTTTTCTGCAAGGGATTTGAAATAAATGTATTCTTAAAATAATAAAAACTATATGCAGTTTGACTATGTGTTTTAATATTTTTGAAACCTTCATTAGTATGAACAGTTTCCGTAATATGAACGCGTCAGGATTTTTTGTGTTCATATTACCGAGCTTGTACTGTAATATTAATTTGAATAACACCATAATTTTGTGCTTTTTTTTGTGCAAATTATGTGCGGAATCAAAAATAAATTTGGTCAAATATATTCTTTTTAATTAAATATTATGCCAGCTTAACGTAAAGTTAGCATAACTTTTTATTATTTATCAAGTAATTTTAATTTCAATAACACCATAATTTTGTGCATTTTTTGTGCATTTACTTCATCAACAACTGTTCTTATATTTTCTAGCATGAAATTACTGTTAGTTAACGAATGATTATTATTTCCTCAGTTTTTTTTATGGCGGCCCACATTTATCTTGATCTTAGCAGTAATAGGGGGGGAAGCCGCAAAATAGTATGACGGTGTACTTCGCATAATGTGTCGATGATAAGCCACTGTCACCTGGAAACAGTTGGTCAAATAATAAAAATAAGGTTGAAACCAATTTAAATTTTAAAATATTATTAATAGTGAATAATAATGATTTAGCAAGTTGTGACTCACCAGAAATATTTATATTTTGGAGTAAGGATGACAAAGAACTTGGTGGATTTGCTTGTTTGTGGACAATAAGCACTGATGATGGCACCTTGCCGAAAGCGCTTTGCATTTAATTATTAAATATTTTGCACGAAATATAAGTCTTTCCTTTTTATCTAAACTACGTGCACACAGCCGTCAACCTTTTTTGGTTATTTTAATATTTAAAAAATATTTTTTTATCATTCGGTAGTAACAAAATAGCACAAAATTGCGGTATTTATTTGCTCGATAAATAATAGAGTTGTGCTAACTTAACGTTAAGCTAGCACAATATTTAATTACCAAAAAACTATAAATGCACAAAAATCGTGAATAGCGCACAAAAATTGCACATAATTCGCACATAATTATAGATAAGGTTTTGATTGATTGTGCTAAGATCGTTGTGCTAACTTTATATACCTCGCAGATCAGCAATACCAACTCGGTAAACTTTTGTTAATACGCGTTTTAGTAAAAGTACGTTACGGAAACCATTATGAAATGATATTTTTTAAAGAAGACTTTAAAGTGAACTTTAAATAGAAGCTTCCTTTGTTTAAATACGTCTTTAGGGTTCGATTATGAAATTAGCCCTTAGCTTGGCATTATTTGTTGGAATTTGCTCGTTAAAAATGTACCTATTTCCTGCACGCGTTACGTTATCTACCTACTTAAATCATTTATCAGTTGGCAACAAAGTAAATCCGAAAATAAAGAACGAAATAGGCAGTAACCTAAAAATACATCTGTATTCAATTAATTATCTAGGATGATGGAAGCGAATATAAAAACTTTCTCAACCTGACTGTGACTGTGTTTCAAAATAGTGGAGCGTTTGTGTTTTGTTACAACTGAAGCAAGCCAAGCGAGAAGCGAGTGTTTTGTGAGCGAGCCGTCGGCAACGAGAAGAGCATACACGTGTCAAGAATCTAGGAAGTAGGTCAAATCGAAGCATTACATCACTTTTCATGGGTACAAACCAAGCGCCAGGGTCTCAGGCCGAGCGTTTCCTCCAGGGACGACCTCAGGGGGAAGAAAATGAAACCGTAATCCGAACTCACTGTGGGGATTTGGGACCGATTTTTTATATTCGTACGTCAAATGCCGTTTGTTAAAAAAAAAGAATTCAAAGGAGTTTCGACGGAATTATAATAAAAATAATTTATTACTTCTATAAATTTAGGCATCTAATATTTACTGTTTGAAAATTAATTTAAGGAACACGACTTTTGTAAATGTGTCATAAAGTTGTATCCATATGGGATTTTTTTAATATTAGGTAGGTACGATTGAAAAAAAATTGTAGGGTAATCACCGTCGAACATTATCAACAAAAATTGGTATGGAATTGTTGGTTGCCTTCTCATCTCTTTTAAGATTTTTCAATAAATACAAAATTGTCAGTTAGGGTGTGCATCAAAAAATGTTAAAAATACCAATTTTCTTAAAGTCGGAATATACTATTTTTAAATGTCGAGGAAATATAGTTAGATTACAGGTATAGAATAAATATTTAGAAAACTATTGACGTTACAAGATCGCCATACTGTTTTGTGTGCAGTTTCTTACCCCGAATATAAGTTATGTTGGTTTTTATTAGTGGAAGCAACATATATGAGGCTACCAGTGCGAAAACGGTCTAACCCCAGAAGGATAGTTTTGAGGAAACGTGAAATGAAATATGTTGGAAAATACTGCTTTTTTATTCCTATCCGAAAACACTTTAATCGATATATTCTTGTTTCATTTTTTTTTAATCGTAGCTATACTAAGAATGCCGTACCAGAAATATTGCAAAATGGTTATATTTAAGAAAAAACAGTGGGTTAGGCCGTTTTGCTTTTTATAAAATTTTGTAAAATTTATAAGCCAGGGTACAAAAAAAACTTGTTTTGGGCAAATATTTTGTAAAAACAGAAAGTTTATTTCATCAAAATACAAACTTACTAGAAACTAGTTACAAAAATGTCTTTGAACCTAATTATTCATCGACTTCCTCCATTTCGATGAAATCTTCAGATTGGTCATCCATTGTTTTCAAATTTTTATAAAAGTGTTGGTAAACGGGTGGGATGAAGTCGGAAAGTGTCAATATGTCCTGCTTTTTTTTAATGTCTACCTTATGCCCGTTCGGATACAGCAGTTGCAAATTATTATTAACTGAAGATGTCGCAGCATTCCTTTTTACAATGTTCACGGTTGTAAAGGGAACCAAATCATTGTTTGAATATTTAAAATGTATGAGGAATGGTTCATCCTTTTTAAATTTTAGCCATTGCATTTTGAGCCACTCTACTTTTTCGTCATTTATAGATTTTTTTCTATTGAACTGTTTATTGAAAACGTTGGCGAAAACAAAATATGAGGCTGGCTCAGGAGGTTGATCTTTGTAAAGGCTATACATTTTCCCTAAACTAAGATCAGGCGACAGGTACTTTCTATGGGGGTTTTTCAGTCTCGAATAATGTGACTGATACGCGGGGAATCTGATTATGAAATTCTTGATTTCCGGTATTTTGTCCTCGCTTGTTTTATTACTGGGGGCATGTTTTCCCCTTTATCTACAGGAGGGGTCATAACAGAGGCTTTGCTCAACATGATTCTACTTATTCTACCATCTGAAACTTTAAACACCTTTACTCTTTACTTTTTCTCCGTTTTTATTAGTTAAGTAGTACAATAGCGTATTCGAACGTCGTGAAGGATTTGCGTTGGTTTTGTAACACCTTAATTTATTTACAACTTCGACCAAGCCGAAAATGTATGAGGTTTGTAAATCATGAGTTTCAAGTCCATAAAAGTTTTCGAGTAGGGTTTTTTGTCTTTCAGCATTTATCTTCAGGGGCACACTATTTCTTCAAACAACTTAGGCAGTACTACCCTACCTTTGAAATTCCTATATTCTTCACCTTTTATTCGCTTCGCTTTCATAATATTTTTTGGCCACATTTGCTCATTCCTGATGGGTTTTCTTGTTTTCACTGTTGCATTTATAGTACCCTCATCCCTTTCGCTTTCACTTTCTGAGCCACTTGGATTACTAAGCACATATTCGGAGCCAGAATCACCAAATGGGTCGTCCTCATACAGGTCTGAAGGTGAAAAAACATAACCTCAAAAAATTCGTAATATTTTATATGCAGAATTAGTACTAAATGACTAAATTTCTTACCGTTAACGTGCGGTGAAGTCACATACTTTGATTACTATACGGGGCAAGAGAGAGGTCCGACACGCCCAACATAGGGCGCGGCCATTTTGATTCCTATGACACAGTTTATAGCTAAAGAATTAGATCGCTCACTCTGCTTCGGCACTTTTGATCTCAATATTCCAGTTTATACACTGCGCAACTCGAATAATACAATATATGACAACCGCCTATAATAAAAAAGCAGTCTTCTGCGTATCCTGGATTTGTATCCCTGAAGTGGATGTTATTTTAGAACTTTCAACTGGTCCGAGTGAGCTATTATATACTCGCATTCCTAGATAATTTGCGATATAGATCATCTTTGTATCCTCTGTGATTGTACACTTTCTTAGAACCCACATTCACAAAAGCGGCAATTTCTTTGAATTATTATAATTTGCAACCGCCGAAGTTCCTCATATATCAACTTCACTTGAACTGAAGTAAATTCTACTAAGCATCCCATTTATAGGTTATGCTACGAAATTATGGAGGAAATACTTAAAAGACGAAATAGCTACTTCTATATATGAGGAACATAAGAGTAAATACTGCCTGAACGAAGTAAATATATTGCTGTAGTAGATACTACACATGCGAAGGAGATACTTGAAATAATAGCATGAAAAACGTTAGGTGTATCTTATGCTAAATTTAGTCAAATTGTACTGAGTAATAAAAAAAATTATAGCCATTGATAATTTTTGAATTTTCAACTATATTAGCTTCTATTTTACCAAAGCATGTTTCGTTTAATCGTCTTATTTTTCTTCAGAGAATTACCTCAAACTGCCGCCTTACGACGAGAAACAAGAACTGATAAAAATCTCATCTCACATCACGATTGTGATAGAAACTTATTTTCCTGGTGTGAAAACTGAGAACTTTCTAGTGTTGAAAACACTCGAGAGGACGAGAGGAACGAGAGGAACGAGAGGAACGAGAAGATTGTTTTTGCATTGTATTTAGATAGCCTAGTAGAACAATCTCAATGCAAATTATCTTGGAGGACAATGGACAGGACCAATAAATGGCAGCAAGCTCCATCGTGTCCAAGTCATGTCTTTGATAATTTTGTCGAAACCTAATAACGAACGTAATTTCTCTATTTACTAACAGATGGACCCATAGTTGATTACGTATGAACCTAATATACCAGTTTTATTATTTTTGATGTACATTTATTTACGATTTATCAACGTTTTAGAGAGTATAACCAATATTAATTGAAATTTGGCAATCTACTAAAATGAATTTAAATATAAAGAAAACTGTATGTATATAGAATTCTATACTCAATGATCAAGGGAGCGCTAGTGCACGGGCCATTTTGATAAAGTTCTGTACTTGTTCTATGTCGCAATAGGATTACCCCCAATGAAACTTTTATAAAGTTGTTCTACTGGGATATCTAAATATAATGGTTTTTGTAATGCATTAAATTGATGTTTGATGCTTTGCTGTTATTTTAATCAATTTTCATGCTGTAAACCTAAGAAAAAAAGAGTATTAAAAATAAATTTCTATATTGAGTTTTTGTGATGCAACTCTGGCAAAATAACACAAAAAAAATCAAGGTTAATGGGCCCTTTAGCTCGGTTTACAATAAAGTAAGAAACCAATACGACAACGTCGCTGTAGGCTGTAGGCATAAAAATTGAAAAAAGGTTGTGCACTTATTCATATGTCCAACCAAGTTCAGGTCATCAGTCTCTTGATGAGATTCTCAACTTGAGAGTAATTATTGAAAAAAATGGATATTTTATTTTTCAGTAATAAGAGTAAGTGAGTTTTGTTTAATTTTATTTTTCTTATTTGCCCGATCTACTAGTTATTTTTAGTTAGTTTTAGTTACCGAAAGAAAGCTACAAGCCTTTTTATTGTATTTACTGTATTTACAGCATACATGTAGCGATATCTAGACTTTATAGCACATTACCTTGAATAAATAATAATTAATATTATACTCCATAGCCAAGGTGGTATTTAAAAATAGGCTACCCTTCTAAGCATAAAAACTGTATCTGAATTTTTGTCTATATTCGTGTCTATGTCTTCTTCGTAAACGTTCAACCTTATCCCTGTCATATTATCTTTTACAGAAATGCTTGTTTTACATTTAAAACTAATCATATCTACAAACTCGTATTATCAAACTATTCTGTCCGTTGACAAAACCAGAAGGAAAACTAATTACAGAAACAAGAGAAACATCTTTAGACAGCAGATTCAATAAATAAAAAAAAAAACCTAAAGTAAAAATATATGAGGCAAGTAATCGAAAAATGGTTGAATTGAAGTAAATAAGAAAAGAAAAGTTTGATAGAAGGGGCCAATAAAAAGCATGGAAGATAAAAGAAATAAATTTTCTAATAAGAAAAGGAAAACTGATTTGAAATGGAATGAGAATTATAGTTAGACAATGTATGCTTGTTATGTAGTCGATAGGGACAAAACCCAATAAGCCAACTACATAGCGCCGACCACACAAGGCTATATCAGCAAGTACAAAGGGATAATATTCTAGCTATGCCTACTGATAGAGCCATAACCACATACAAATTTGAAAGAAATTTTCAAATTCAAATACCAGCCCGAGAATCCTGGAAACAGGGACCTCCCGTACAGGCTGAACTCATCTGGTACACAGACGGTTCAAAAACCAAGGAAGGAGCCGGTGCTGGAATCTATGGACCTAAGTCGAAATCAACGATTTCACTAAGCTTAGGAAAATATGCAACAGTGTTCCAGGCTGAGCTAATAGCCATACAACACTGTGCAAGAGAAATATTAAATCAGCAAGTATCAGGCAAAACTATTGCCACATACTCTGATAGCCAAGCAGCTCTAAAGGCAATTATCTCACCAGAAATCAAATCACGACTGGTGAAAGACTGTCTAGAAGACCTGACAGAGCTAAGTAGTCAAAATAAGGTGACCTTAGCCTGGGTTCCAGGCCATGAGGGATATCAGGGCAACGAAAAGGCCGACGAATTAGCCCGAGAAGGCTCAGATAAGGCCATGACAGGCCCTGAACCCTTTTGTGGAGTCGCTAAGGCATTGTGCAAGGCATCCATTAAACAATGGATGCAAAAAGAGTCTCAGGAATGGTGGAACAACTATCCAAGACTGAGACAGGCCAAACAGTTCATCAAGGAACCATCGGCCAAGTTTACGAAAGACCTACTGGATCAAAAACGTCAAATCGTTAGGATAACAGTAGGCCTTCTTACTGGACACTGTCGCCTCAAAAGGCACATGAGTGTCATAAATCCAGCAGAAGAAGCAACTTTGTGCAGGTTCTGTGAAGAAGAAGAGGAAACATCATTCCACGTCCTGTGCCAATGTGAAGGCTTGGCTGGAATGAGGTTTCTAACATTGGGCGAAGAAAAGCCAATTGCATGCAACTACATGCAAAGCTACTAAGTCTAATAAAAAAGACCAGGCTAGACGACATACTCTAAAACAAACGGAGTCCCACAATAGATCTGAAAAGGTCGCGGTGGACAAGGACAAATAACGTCCAACTCCTAATCTAATCTAATCTAAATGTAGTCGATAATAACTATATCTATTATATCAAATTACCAATTTCAAACTATTATGTGTAGCCAAAAATAAGATAACAAAATAATAAATTGCATTATTTATACATATGATACTTAATTTTTATTGTTTACTAGAATTAATTTAATTTTATGTGTGCCTATAATTGAAGACCTTGGTGTAAAAACCGGACAAGTTCATATTTTAAAATTTTTGGGAAAATGAAAAAAGTTTTTAATTTTGGATATTTATTTCAAAGAGAAGATATACACGCTTTTTGTAGTAGATATTAGGAATAATTTTGTTAGGATAAAAATCATTATAATAATTTTTTGAAAAAATATACGAAGTAGATTTTTTTGAAAATTTGGACCTGTCCGCTTTATGCACCAAAAACTTAAAAAAAATGTAACTGATAATTTTAATGGTTTTATTTGACAAACTGAAAAAAGAAAAAACTAAATCAAAATAAATGAAGAATAAAAGTCATCGGCTCTATCTTCAACTGGTTCGCCTTCATGTGTTTGTAGTACCACTGATCTGCGGCATGAACATATTTTTCTACGAGGGTTTTAACATATTTGGTCTTTTTTTTATTAAGAGGTAAGGGATACACTTGGGTCATTTTAGATGTTGGTAGTGACAAAACAGTTCCAGGCTTCAATGCGGAAAATTTAGTGACGAATGGAAGCGCGGTAACAAGGCTGCATTCAATAAAGTTAGATCTCTTTTCGTATTTAAATAACCCGTAAGTTGAAATGAGAAATTTGTACTGTTTGTCTGCGTTAGAAAAGGTTGTCTTAAGCATTGGTTTAAAGTGGTTGGTAAATTATCTAACCATCTCTTGATTTACTTCTGCTACGCGAAATTGTTTGAATGTTTTGCGCACTAAATCCTTCCATTCTTCTGGAACGTGTACTCTTTTCTTTTTCTCTTTTCCTTTTCTCTCAGACCAAAAGAACGATTACACGGCAAGAAACTGTGGCCGGGTTCTGGGTATTGGTGGATCAGTTGTTTAATTTGATTATTTTTATTAACTAGCGTATAAAGATACTTAACCATGGTATGATTCTTATTCTGTGCAAAGGCGTTATCGGAAAACAAGTACAGCGTTGCCACATTTTCTAGCAGAAAATTTTCAATATAATGTTCTAGAAAACCGGATTTTCCAGAAAATGTAAAAAAATTGTACAGCCATACTTGATTTTTTTAAAAACATCCCCAACAGGAACGTGCGGCAATGAAGATTTTGCTGAAAGTCAGAACAAAGCATTTCTATAGATTCATCTGTTTTAGCCAGCCCTGTTTTTTCTTTTAAAGTAGTGTAAAATAATTCAGATTTTCTGATATGAAGTAGTTTCTCTGTTTGTAAAGTTTTTTTCACATCAACGTCTTGCTCAGAATGGCATGTTACATGTTTGGCAGGTATCTGACCTGAGCTATCATTATGATTTGTGCAAAAGTGATGATAATTAAAGTCATATGTAACTACTGGTTTACATGTCTCATTTCGTTTTATTTTTTAAACGTATCTGGCTCATACTTCTGCAGGTATAGCGAGTGCATTTTTGAAACAATAAGTTCAGAAGAAAAGTAAGTTCTTCATTCATTCTTTTCTCTACTGTAGTATGAAGAGCGATGAGGAAAACTTCTAATATGATCGGCAATGGTAGCTAAAATATTATTTGGTATTTTGTTCAGCCTAAATGAGTGCTTACCTCTCATATCTGGTTGATTTTTATTTATTAGAGCAGTAGCTATACGGACCAATCGATGCTTTGTGATGCTATGAATCGTACAAAGTGCTGCCCTTCACACCATAAATTCGCTGTCATCGACACGAACCTGTAAAGAAAATGACAGACGTAAAACAAGTAAACATATAATAAACTTAAAAATCTTACTTTGGAGAAAAAAGTAACACTCTTTTCTCTACCAGTTCCAGATCTTATTCTCTTCCTTGAAACATCTTTTACAGTAATCAAGCTGACTAGATAAATATCCTGCTTTTTTATTAGAAAAACCGTTAAATTGCTATAGAATCTGATTTTTCTGTTGTTCAGTTATATTTAAAAAACATCTGAGACGGCATTTACAGTCTTTCCCCACTTCTCTTTTTGGAATTACTTTACCGCTTCTCGCCATGACATACTCTTCTCCCTTTGCCATTTTTGTCTTTCTGATATTTCTTTTCCAAGTTTTTTTCGATTCTCATTCTTTTTTTACCCTTTTGTTTTTTGATATTCGCCATATCAGCCTGATATTTAAGCAGTCTGCTTTGATTTAATAGTACTTGCATTTTATTTTTTCTTCGTAGTACTTGGAAGATTTTCGTCACTAGGCACGTACTCACTGCCATGGGATTAAAACGGTTCAGACTCATCGGATGACGACATTGTAACGGAGCGTTAAATCAACAAAATGCACCCAGTAAAGTAGTCACTAAATGAATAAAGCTAGAGTAGCGATTCGCATATTATTCTCCCACTTAGCCAAGTCCCTACCCCATTTTCAAGCAGTTGGTGAAAATACCAGCGATATTTTAATATCTAACGGAAAAAGCCAATTTCACCTAAAAATGGACTTGTCCGGTTTTTGCACCAAGGTCTTCAATTATTCTTGTGAATTGGAATTTTAATAAATGCATGTTTGTAATTTTGACATATAACGTGACATTTTTTGTAATCGCAGCAAGTGTCAAAATGATCTACTTTACGTAACCAGTTGCATAATGTTGAACATTATGAAACAGGTTTCGAAAAATTCATTGTCACCATAATATTATTATTGAATGTTTATATTAAAGAAGGGCAGGTTGACTTATAAAAATAGAATTTGGTTAAACTTACAAATTAGTAATAATGTTGTTTTGCTCCTTATTTTCCATTATAAATCAGCACAAAATAATTAAAACACAATACACGACAAAATAATCCACTTTTTGAAAACTAAATAATTTTAATAAGCTATAAACACACAACAAGTCGTTGAGAATAAATAATTAATATTATGTTCTATTGGTCAATAAAATGATGCATAGGCAACTAACAATACAAGAAAGTAGTAATATTGGTTGCCTAGAGTCAGTAATTTCTTACCAAAACACAATTTTATAAGTAATCTAGTCAAAATTAGAAAAAATATTATATGTAACTCGTTACGAAATACCGTTGTATGTAGCTCGTTCATGTTGCGGGACCTTGTTCTGCTCGTTCCGCAAATATTCATTCATTACATAAAATAAGGCATTTCGTAATTAGTTTCATAAATAGCTATTTTAGATAATTTCATTTTGTGATATTAATATGTTTTGTTATTAATCCTGTGAGCTACAACTTTTTCTATTATTTATATCAGTTCCCGGCCAAAAGATTTAGACACAAAAACCGGGTAGGCATAAAATAGTCGACAATCAAATTATCTGTAGCGAATATTTTGGCGTTGAAACAACTAGAGGCTAATGAGCTGAGAACTCATAATTATTGTCGTAAACAAAAATTATTATTTTGGCTAAGGCCGAACCTGTCTTGGCACCATTGTTCGACTCGACTAATTTCTCTCTCTAACTCGTTGCCTAGAGTGTATCCAACATATTGTAAGCTCTAAAAATGTTATTTATGTTTTCGAAATACCTGAAACGAGATAGATATCGGAAAGAAAAATTCGCAATTAAAAATTAATTAAAAATGTTCACAAAGTATTGAATTCAGAAAAGAGTCTTTTCTCATTTTGTTTGTTTTAATAATAATAAAGTACTTTAATTTTGTACGTAATTAGCCTACCTAGAATATACCTTAGTAAAAGAAATTTGAACAATATCTACATCAAGCAATTTATCAATTCATTATTTTGCCAAGGTTTTAATTAGCGGAATAAATTAAAAACGCAAATATGACAGGTAGGTACTTGTATTAAACAATTTCAATAATAAAAATAAGCAATTTATTAAAATCAATAAATATTTAAAATTTTAATTTAATAACAATTTTGTATTTACATATAGGTATACAGGGTGTCCCATTAGTGCGTAATTGCTCGATATTTCAATTTGCATTATAGACACAAGTTTCAAATAAAAATTAAATGGACCAAAAAAAGTATTTTTGAAAATACAGTGTGTTACGCTTTTATCCGGTAGATCAAAATAAATATTTTTAAATGGAACACCCTGTATTTTATTTCAGTCTTAGAATGTTCTGGTAATAATATATTCAACCCTAAAATGTTTTTGAAAAATATTACAGGGTTGCCAAGCAATGTTTTGTGAAATTAGATAATGATGCAGACCCCAAATAATATTTTCATAATTTGGGTGGGTTAGCAATGATTTCAAAAATATAAATTTGTAAGATACCAAGTTAACGAATAGTGATGATAAATACGAATACGATAATTTTATACGAATTATTTTGAAACCTGTTGTTCAGAATGAATAAGACACCCACCTGGTTGACTCTTCTGTATATAAAAATGACTTTATAAAAAAAATATGCTGACAAATTCAAAAAGGATATTATCTTTAATTAAAATACATTATTTTTTACATATACATTATATCAAAAACAAATGCCATTCTACCAAAATTCAAATCAAATGTATGACAGCATTAAGATGGAAAGGGCTACAAGTCACCTATCTGTTAAATGGATGAAAGTTTCTTTTAATTAAATAAAATATGTTTATAAATATACCGCAAATGGGTTGCCTAAGAAAATACGGTCCAGACTATTTATTTTCATAAATTAAAAAAACGACACCTTGTAAAGTAGTCCCCATATGCTTCGACTACGCCCAAACTTTAATCTGATCACCGCAGGATGGATTGAAGCGTAAGTTTAAAATTTGGGAGTTTTTCTCTTCATCCGTTTTTGAGTTATCGTCAAAATTCGAAATTTGCACTTTTCCTCAAATATCTCGAATTAGATCCATTTTAGGGAAATCATGTATAGATACAAAATAATAGAGAATGACATCATAAGCAACTTTTATCATGATTCCTATACTTTCCTTATCTGTACACAGAAAGGAAAGTAAAAAATGACCTTGACCGTATTTTCTAAGGCAATCCATTTGAGGTATACTTAAAAACATATTAAACAGATGGGTGAAGGTCGACCTTACTTACGGATCCTGGTATAAGATTACGATTTTTATCATACCATAAAAAAGCAAGAAGTCTCGATCAGCCTCTAGGATGCCAATTTGAAGAAATGCTCTTATTATATCCGCAATTGTCCCAATTTTAGAGTCGGATTCTTATTAAACAAGAATGTATCAAATCTAAAAGATTAATTCCTTTTTATAAACACTGATTTAAGGAAGTGAAATCGTTTTCTCGTGCAGAAGCATTAAAAACTAGTATTAGTTTGGTTGTAGTACTATCAAGTTTTACACATAGTGAAGTAAATAATGGACTGTTTACTTCATTTCTTCACCTCTAGGTACAAATTCGATGACGCCTTCGGCTAGAGCTATTCCGAGAAATCTTTGTTGTACTCGCCATAGTATCCGTCGTCCTTCAACTTTAGCATTAAGTTGTCTATAGACGTCGTTTAGTCAAATTAAATTTACTTAGAGTTGAAGAATGGCCTTCTATCCAAGGTAGACCAACCTCGTATCATGAATTGTGTCATGGAAATGTTGCATCACAGCCATTTCCAATACTTTCTTGGACTTATTATCATTAGGGTCAGATATTCCAAGAATATCAAGACTCTATAAATGCGTTATATGGTGATATTTACATAAAAGAGACGTTATCATGTTTAAAATTATACTAGAGGTATTTAAATATACATTGGAAAGCTTTGCAAGAAGAGTCCATCCTAGTTGGGTTTCCATAGCCACCAAACCACTAGGTAAACTGCACTTTTTACCAGTAAAAAGTTTACCAACAATATATAACACATCAATTGGAGCATCTTTGATATTAAATATTTCTATTCCCAATCTGATAGCTCAGACATCGAGGAGCCTTTAGGGATAGAGTTGATATTCGAACATATTATTAAGGGCTGATCTAAAACTTGGAAGTTACATGCATATTTATTATCTATACTGTCTAATCTAATCTTAATACAGAATGAGTGAAGACTTCAGACTGACCACCAAAAAGTACAATACTTCCAAGTGACTGTAGTTTCATTTCAAAGGAAACAAATTTATTTATATATGAATGCTGGGACCCAGTGCCTATGATGCATCTCACCTTTCTTGAATGGGTTCCATTATTCAACTTAACCAAAATCGTTTGTAAAAATATCTGGAGAAACGTATTATTTGACCGGGATTCTACATTTTCTTTTATTAGAAAAATACTGATGGCCGTTTCTTCATTTTTGGATTATTTTGGGCACATCAAAGTTGCATGGATCTGTTTACAATGTAAGCAATGCAAACTGACTCGGCATCTCCGTGTACCACTTTAAACATAAATGGCAACATCTTGTAGATGATAAGATATTCTTCTTTTCTATTAAATTAATTTTCTTAGTCTTAGTTTCTAACAATTAATTAGTTCAGAAGCCATGGAAACGGAAATATGTTGCCTTATTTCAGGTTTCTTACATTTCATATCGCTATTTTTTCTTCACATTCGACTTCTTTCTTAAAAAAAAGACCATGAGTTTGAATAATCGCAAATTTGTAGATTTTTTTACTGCTTGAAGATGAATTAAATTCCGAATTACTAGGACTTCTTTGCCTCACTTACAGGAGATCTTCGG